TTTTTTTTTTTTTTTTGCTATAGGGCATGTGTGCTTGCCAGAAAGATAGAGAGAAACAGAGAGACAGAAAGTGAGAAATCACACTCCCCTTCCCCCCAGGGGGGATGGCCACGCTGCAATCCCTTCTCCTCCATTCTCCTCTCAAGATCTTGGGTACGCACGCACACATTCCTGGTGTGAGTTTAAGTCACCAGGTCTGGGACTTGAACCTTGGTCAACTTACATACTTACATGGGAGTCCAGTGATATAGCCATTAGGCCATCTGCTGGTCATGATAATGTTTTTCTAAAAATAATGATTTTGTATAACTTTATTTTAATTTGACCAGTGAGGGACAGAGAGAGAGAGAATCTAAGTCTCCAGTGGCAGTACCTGTGTGCCACTGTGGCTGGGCCCGGAACTTCATTTTTATTGGCCCATTAAGGGTTGGTTTGGGACTGGTGTTGAAGGTTTCCCTAAGCCTCCTGGCTCTCTGTGTGACTGTTTAAAAGGAACCTCTCATAAAAACCAGGTTCGATATTTTCGTTTTGCCATAAGTATCAAATGCATCCGTGGCAGCACGTGAATTCCTAAGTGGACCCCCTGCTGGTTTTCTGTGTTGCCCAGGTCCTCCAGGAGCAGATCCGAGCCAGGGACAACATTAGCTACGGAACTAACTCTGCCTTAAAGACCCTGGAGATGCGCCAACTCTCGGGTTTGGGAGATCTTCGAGGAAGAGTAGCAAGGTAGGTCCAGCCGTCGGGCCCTCCGCTCATCCAACACTGTCCTTCCTGCATTCTGCTTTAGTGGGAACAGCAAGTTCCTCACATGATTTCTATGCATCCCCCCTGCTTTGCCCCCGACGTCTGGGGCACACTTGGCACCTGGCAGCGAGCCCGCCACGGTTTCCTGTGTCTCTGCAGCTGGGTGGTCGTTGTGGGAGGAAGGGTGGGAGTGCCCGCGGCCGGCCTGTGCAGTGGGCGGGTGACCGTAGGCTGACTTACTCCCTCGGTACTAAGCTGAGGCTGCTACTTTGTCTTTTTAAGATTTTATTGTATTTATTTCTTTATTAATTTATTTTCAAATGGCTTTATTAAAGATACTTTTCATAAACAGTCATGGTATTTCAGGCAGGACATGGGCAGACAATCATTAACCATATACAACAACTTTCAAACTCCCTTCTTCAATGGACTACCAACATCAGAAAGCCACTATAAAACCCAATGAAGCCTTCATCTGATGCTCTGAACAGGGAAAGTTTAGAGTGAGGGTTGACATTTCATATTTAGCATGTTGTTTAACGACTTTTCACGAGCCGACCCTGACTTTTGGGAAATGAAAACGCAGAGTTATCAACCTGAAGACCCAACAATATAGAAAAGGACCTGCTGCTCCTGCGAAGGACGCCATCTCAATGTCATCAGAGAGTCCAGATTGCCTGATATCCTGGTATAACCAGTTTTCTGTGGTCAGGTCCCACAGGTCTCTGGTGTAAGAGAGTAAGTCTATGCTGAAGGCAGAGAGGGAGAGGACATGAAAGCAAATGCTAAGTTTTCCACACCACAGGGCATCTGTGCCAAGGCGGCTTTGTGTCAGGGAATCCCTCCTCTCTGGAGCCAAGAGGAAGTCTCTCAAAACTAGAAGAGAGAGATGTTGTCCAAATCAATCCAGCTTCAGAGACGTTCTATTAGTGACAAATGCCCCTTCCCCTCCAAAACAACAAAGAAGTGTTCTGTGCGCTTCCAACATAGCTTTAAAAAAAGGTAAAACAAAATTCTGCTTTTTTATAAAACTTAATTAAAAATAGAATTTCAAACTGTACAGTCACCAGAAGTACACAGTTATCAAAGATGCACACACTTCCCTTGGCATCTCCAGCACCTGCAGCTTTCTGTGCCTGGTCTATGTTGGCATCTCCGTTTTCTGCAGGGTTATTCCCATCCTTGCCAGCATCAGCTTTTCCCTTTTTTCCTTTGGGTACCTTCTCTCCCTGCTTTGCAGGGGCCTTTTCAGGCTTGGGCTCTGGCTTTGGAGGAGCAGGTTTCACAGACAACCTTGCAGATCTGCCCTGTGGTCCGTCCCTCACCTTGGCTTTATCTCCTTCAGCATCTCCTTCAGCCTTTCTCTTGGGCATGGTGGCGACAACAGCGGGACGTAGGTGCTGGACACTGGGGATGCAGCAGGGCAGGCTTTGGTCGGTCCGGGATCGCTCTTGCCTCTTCTTCCCACTGCTCCAAGATTGTATTTTTTGAGGGCTGGCAGATGGTGTGGTGGCTGAGACTCTGGACTCCCACTTGGCCAACTGCAGTTCAAGTCCTGGATCTGGTGGCTTGCTTTCTCACTTTCCCTTTCTCTCGCTGTCTCTCTCTGGTCAAATTAAAATACTTCTACTAATTATAATAATAAATGGAATGAAATAAATAAATAATTTTTTAAAGATTTTATTTTTCTTATAATCCATTTTTACTTCAATTTCTGAAGCTATTACTTTATGATAGATCAGAAAGTTACTTTGTGAGCCCCAAATCTCAACAGGACAGAGAAATGAAGGAGAAGGGATGGTGACGTGACCAGACCCCATCCGGGGGGCGGGTATTCTTTCCCTCTCTCTCTCTGTCTCTGTCTCTCTGTCTCCGATGAGCATAGGTGACCTTGGGCTACTAAAAAGAAAAAGCATGAAAAAGATCTGTCAACTCAGCTAGTATGAGACGTGCTCTCTCCCCTCCTTGAAGTGTTGTCCGTAGGCTGGCGACTCGCACGTCATCTGGGAGCTTATTAGGAAGGTGCAGCCTCGGGCCCAGCCGCTTGACTGCATCAGAATCTGCACTTTAACAAGACCCCTGGATCCGCGTGCATGCTGCTAGCTGAGAGGTTCTGCGGAGAACTGTCTGGGGTTATTTCTGGCTGGCTGGAACGGAATTGTCCAAAGTATTTCTGGGCCTCTTCTGCCCTCTGCTGCTACTAAGAGCCAAACACATGTCTGCATACCAGCCCTGCAGGTACTCCAGACCAACCTGAGTGACAGCGAGAGTGACCTGCGAGAAAGACAGGGGCCCACAGGTCCAAGTCCTCTTCAGAGCAGAGAGGGGTAACGTTAGGGCACATTTGCGTGGACAACAGGAAGGGCCTTGAATGCTGGCCATGTGTGTGGTCTACTGAGGAGGGTGAATCTCATAGCGGGGGCTGCGTGGACAGACCGCGGGACTGGCTGGCCGCTCTCCTGTGCACCTGTCGGATGAACTCTGTTCTCCTTGGCGTGACCCTCGGCCACGGGCACCCTGCTGACCTGGACTCTCAGACCCTTGCACGTTTCTCTCAGCAGTGAGGAACTGCTCGTTAGTCCCCCAGCTGGCCGAGCTGTGCCATCACGCTGCCTTTGCACAGATGGTCTTGTACTCACATGCCTTTCTTCCCAGAAACGATCTAGAAAAACCACTTGAAATCAGACCGGGAAAACTTGAATCCATTCAGGTGAAGTTTGACTTGAAAACAACCCCGACTTCGAGATCCCTTTCCAGACAGTAAGGCAGGAGAACCAGGGAGCTACAGGGCAGAGTAGCAAGTGGAGATCTCCGAGCATCTTCATAGCCATTGCAGTTGCAGGTGCAGACCAGTTACAGGCCGCGTGGTGATGTTCGGTCGTGGGCCACGTGCATGGCAGCAGTCCCGTAAGGAGCTGTACCATGTAGCTAGGCGTGTAGGGCAGTGCTGTCTGGGTCTGTGTGCGTGCACGCAGTGCTGTTCAGTCACTGACAAAGTCACCCGTGACACATTTCTCAGGACACAGGCCCATTGCTAAGTGACATGTGACTCTACAGGTATTAGTGTAGAGTTGGGTTTATATTTGCCATTTTACTTTTTGGTTTCTGTGTCTTATTATTATTTTGGTTCTTGTATCCACATTTATTGCTTTCTTTGGCTTTAACTGATGTTTTGGACTAAAACATTTTAGGCTCCTTCACTATTTTTCACCGTATTTTGAGTTCTTAGTGGTTGCTCTGGGGTTTAGCACGTGCCGCTTCAGGCTGACGCTAATGAGCCAGGCCCATTACCCCAGGATGGCTCCAGCCCCGGCCTTCCATCCTGCCCTACCGTTCTCGTACGGATTCCATCTATGTTACAATCCAAACCACACGTCGTCATTATTTTACATACGTGCTTGTCTTTTTCAGAAAGCCGAGAGAAGGAGGAGAACAAGTACATTTTTAGAGTTTAAATGATGATCATTTGTTCCTGCGGATTCAGATCGCCATCTGTTGTCATTTCCTTACTCCACTACAGAGTTGCCACCTTTTAAAAAAAGACTTTCCTAAAGGGCACATGCACTGACCAGGGAGGGAGGGAGAGACAGAGACAGAGAGAGAGAAAGAGAGAGAGAGAGAGAGAGAGAATCCCCCATGGAGCATGGTCATGCCACGGTCCTTGCCCTTTATTTCTCCCTCCTGTGAGAATTTTAGGCATGCACGTGCACACACGCACACGCGCACACACACACACACACACACACACACACACACACGTGCTGTGCCTGAAACAAACTGTGCAGCTGGCCTTGCGGGATCCGGCTGCCTTAACCACCAGGCCACGGGCTCCCCCTCAGTCCCCTTTTTTGTGCTGGTATCAAATACATTTCATTTCTATCTGTTTGAGACCCCACAATACAATTATATATGTATAATTTTAAATCGCTTTTTAAAATCAGTTCAGAGAAAATGCTCACTTACGTTGCCCCCTATAATTACATGATTACCTTTACAAGTGCTATCTGTTTCTGGTTTTGTTTTTGTTTTTCCACGAGGATTCCAACTACTCTCTGAAGCGCTTGCTTTCCACTCGAGGAATTCCTTTGGTATTTCTTGTAGGGTAGGTCTCTTAGTAAAAATTCTCTCAGCTTTTATTTTTCTGGGATAACTTTATTTTGCCTTTAGTTTTTGAAAGATGGTTTTGCTGGATAAGATTTTTTTTTTCTTTTCTTTCAGCATTAGGAAATGTCATCTGCTGCTTTGTGGCCTTGTGTGGTTCTGATGAGAAATCAGCTGTTAATATTATTCTGGTTCCCTTGTATATTATAATTTTCTTTTTCTTTCTGTTTTTGGAGAAGTTTTTTGCTATAGAGTGCATGCATTCACCAGAAAGACAGAGAGAGACAGAGAGACAGAAAGCAGGAAATCACCCCCCAAGGAGATGGCCATGCCACAATCCCTTCTCCTCCATTCTCCTCTAGGGATCTTGGGCATGCATGCACACACACATGTGCCTGGCGTGAGTTTAAGCCACTGGGTCCAGGACTTGAACTGTGGCCCACTACATGGGAGTCCAATGACATAGCCATTATGCAACTGCTGGTCCCTCTTTTTTTTTTTGCCTTTGTCGTCCAGCATTTTTATTGTATTTATTATGGTATGAATTTCATGGTATTTTTACTACTAGGAGTTTGTTAAGTTATTTGAATGTGTAGATGAATGTTTCTCATCAAATTCAGGAAGTTTTCAGCTATTACTTCCTCGAATCTACTCTTTTCTCTCTCTTCCCCTTCCGTTAATCTCATTACACATATATTGGTGCACATAACATTGTCCCACACTTTACATTTTTCAGAGGCTTTATTTTTCTTCTTTTTTTAACTTCTGTGTTCTCCAAACTGCAAAATTTCTATTTTTTTAAGAATCATTTTATTTCATATTATTTATCATCATTATTTTTTAAAATTTAATCAGAGAAAGAGAGCAAGGGAAACTGAGGA